AGGGAAGGGTTGAGGGGGAGCGGGGACCCCCCCAGACCCCACCCTGGCACCCCAGGCACGGTTACCTCGGCCTCCACCAGGCGGTTGATGATGGTTTCCAGCGTCTCGTGCTTGTAACACTTGAGGACGCCCTCGAAGTAGTGGGAGCGGTGCTGCAGCGCCCGCGTCACCGTCACGTCCAGGTTGTTGTAGGTCTTCTCAGCTGCCAGGTTCTGGGGCAGGGACAGGCGTTGGGGACACAGGCGGGACCTTGGGGACCGCCACCACTCCCCAGCAGCCCCCCCCTGCCCAGGCACTGCCCCTCCCGGTACTCACAATAACATCGAATTTGGAGTAGATGTCCACCACCCGCCCTGGGGAAGGAGGGGAGCGGCTCAGCGGCGCTGCCGGGCCCTCGAGAGGGGACACAGCCCCCCCCGGAGGTGACCTGGGGACAGCCAAGGCCGGGCCAGCCCGTCCTTACCCGAGTCATCCACCACGGGCAGCGCAGACACTCGCTGCTGCACGAAGATGCCCAGGGCCACGTAGATGGGGGTGCCCGTGCCCACCACGGCGATGTTGCTGTAGGTGCCGATCTGCAGCTCCGCCAACGTCCGCGCCATGAACTCGGGCTTGGGCACCTCTGCGATCTGTGGGGACAGCGAGGGGGGCACAGGGCTGAGCACAGACCCCCCCGTGCTGGGGGGGAAAGCACAGAGCGCTGGGGGGCGGAGCAGGGGATGTGGGACCCCCGGGCAGGGGTGGTGCAGAGGGTTTGTGCGGCGTCCTGGGGGTCCCTCAGCACCCACAGCATGTGGGGAGGTACCAGAGCTGTGCCCACCCCGTGCCCAGTGCTGGTGGTACCTGGTATAAGGACCTGGCACAGCCCAGATCGAGGGGCTCGGGGCAGAACTTGGCACAGGGACCTGGCACAGCCCAGGCTGGGGGTCCCAGGGTGCCCCCCACCGTCACCACAGGACTTACAAAGAGCTTGAGGAACTTGAGGATGCGTTTGTGGGTGAGGATGTAGAGGGTGTTCCCCGAGTCGGGGTCGATGACGGGCAGACGATGGATCTTGTTGCGGATCAGGGAGGACACGGCGTCGAAGAGGCTGCGGGAGGGAGAGGGGGGGATTTGGGGTGTGCCCAGGGGTGCCCCCCCCCGGCCGTGACCCCCTCCCTGCCCCCCGGGGGGTACCTGGCGTTGGGGGAGATGCAGACCAGGGGCTTGAAGGAGTCCTGCAGATAAACCTCTGCGGGGAGAGGGGAGGGCTCAGGGGGGTGGGCGGGGGACGGCGCCGGGGGGGGGCAGGAGGCAGCCAGGAGAGACCCCGGGGGGGGGGGGGGGGGGATGGCGCCGGGGGGGGGCGGGAGGCAGCCAGGAGAGACCCCCCTCACCTCTCCACGTCTCTATTTTGTGCTCCTCCAGCTCATAGATCTGCACCTGGGGGGGGTAAGAAGAGAAACCAGGATCACTCACAGCCATAGGTGGGGTGGGCAGAGCCAGACACCCCCCACGCCGCAGCCCCCCGGCCCTCACCATGGGCGACTTGTAGTAGCGGTGCAGGATGTTGATGAAGTCGGTGATGGTCAGCATTCCTGGGGGGCAGGGAGGGTGAGGGGGGTCCCTCCAGCCCTTTGCCAGCCTGAGAGCCCCCTGTGCCCCCCCGGCTCACCTACGAAACTTTGCTTCTTGCTGTCCCAGAGCGGGGCCGCCCGGACGCCGTTGGTGACCAGGGCGAAGAACGCCTTCTTCACCTGCGGGCACGGCCGTCAGGGAGCCCCGAAAGTGCCCCCCACCCCCAGCCCCAAAACTTCCTTCTCCCCCCGGCCCCAGCACACCTGCAGGGACGTGTCGAAGACGACCAGTTTGGAGCTGGTGGGGATCAGGTCGTAGCAGCGGTGGGATTTCATGAAAGCCGTGTAGGCACCGCGGTGGGCGTCCCCTGGGGGGGGGCAGCGTGAGGGGGCACCCCAAACCCTGGGGCACCATCCTGGGGATAACCCAAATCCTGACCCCGGGACATCCCCAATCCTGGAGCACCCCAAACCCCGGGGCACCCCAAATTCTGGCGATACCCCAAATCCTGACCCCGAGGTACCCCAAATCCCGGGGCACCCCAAATCCAAACCTCAGACATCCCGAACCCCAGGACCTTCCCACCTCGGACCCCCCAAAACGCCAGGAAAGGGAAAACCCTCTGGATTCTGCACACCTTGGGACACCCAAACCCACGCGGCACCTCCCCTGCCGGATCCTCCCCGCACCCCGGATCCCCCAGACCAGCCTGGAATCACCTTCCAGCCCCGGGGGGCTCAGCTCCGCGGGGTTCTCGGCGGTGGGGCCGGGGCCGGGGCCGGGGCCGGGGCCGGGGCCG